GGCAGAGGCTGAGGCAGAGGCTGTTAGAAGCGATCAGGCAGACAGGCAGTCAAGCAGTTAGGGGTCATCAGGCAGGCAGGCAGGCAGAGGGGTTAGGGGCAATCAGGCAGGCAGACAGGTGAGCGGATAGGAGCCAGCGGTCCTGGATTGCGAGAGGGTGCAGGTCGGGCTGAGGGACCCCTTTCACCTCCTGTGCACGAATTTCATGCACCGAGCCTCTAGTATATTATAAACACTATTTTATATATAAGAAAACTGCAGCTTAAGGAAGCCACATAACACCCAAATTACCCTACTGATGAATGGAAAAGCCAGGAATCAAACTCAAATCTCTCTGAATTGGAAGCGTGGCTGGAAAAAAAAAAAAACAACATAAAAGGGAAAAGGTGCCAATAGATTACATAGAATAATGTGTGGTTCCCAGAGCAATTAGGCAGATGAACCGGTGTATGGAAAAAGGCAGAGAGAGGAATGTCAGAGTTTGTGGTCTTCTGAGTAAGGCAGAATGGTAGGGAAAAAGTGTGGCCACGAATGAAGGTATTACCTGTGTGGAATGAGGAACATGGCTGGGGTAGTTGGGATACATGAGGTCAGGTGTTGGGTGGGTTATCCAGGTTGATGTTAAAGTGCTTCAGGATGATGACAGAGAATGAAGTGGAGAGGAAATAACTGTGAGCCAAGTGGGGAAGTTTCTGAGGAATATGAGCATTAGCAGATGGCCACAGCACAACCCGATGACCTAGATTTCAAAGGGGAGTTGAGAAATTTGGGTTTTGGAATAACAGTTTAGAAGTTGCCATGGTGGGAATATTGAGAATGTTGACAATGTAAATCAGGGGTGGGGAACGTCCAGCCCCCGCGGGTCGTATAAGGCCCACAAAGTCATTTGGTCTGGCCCTGCCAAGGCATTAGGGGTGAGTTAATTACATGTTTTATCAAATATAGCAGGCTAATTTTTAAGTAGATAATTTTGTGTGGCCCGAGAATGATGCGATAAATATCCAAATGGCCCTTGGCAGAGAAAAGGTTCCCCATCCCTGCTGTGAATCTACAGATGCAGGAAAAGAGAAAAGAACTTCATTTAAAGTAAGTGGAAAGACTCCCTAACCGGTTTGGCTCAGTGGATAGAGCATCGGCCTGCAGACTCAAGGGTCCCAGGTTCGATTCCGGTCAAGGGCATATGCCTTGGTTGCGGGCACATACCCAGTAGGGAGTGTGCAGGAGGCAGCTGACCGATGTTTCTAACTCTCTATCCCTCTCCCATCCTCTTTGTAAAAAATCAATGTCTTTAAAAAAAATAAAATAAATAAATAAAGTAAGTGGAAAGAGGTAGGTTTGAGATGAGGTCTTCAAAACAATTTGGAAGGGGTCTGAGAAGTGATATAATAAATTATACTAATGTAGAAGCAGATGTTTAGAGGCAGAATGATTAGCTGAAGCTCACACTATAAATTGGCAATGGAGGGTATGGGTGGGGCAGTATGGCCCAATGATCAGGAAATGGGCCTTGGGATCAGATGGACCTGGGTTTGAATACCAGCTTCATCATTTACTAGCTGTGAGACTTGAGGTATTACCAATTCTCTTAACATTCTCATCTGTGAAATGAGATACTTAGTATTTGTTGCAAATGATGGTTGTAAGGATTTAATGCTGTATGTGAAGTGCTTACTTTGTGTGTTGTGCCTGGCACACAGGAAGTGCTCAACATTTTAACTACTCATGCTGGACCAGCATGAAAGGCAGCCTGACTCCAAGCCGAGTGCTTTCTCGGTCCATTCCACACTGACCTTATTTACAGTTTTTGTATTTAGAAGGCGGGCCACCTTCACTGGGGCTTTCCTATTGGAGTTACTCCAGACTCACACACACTTGTTGGTAACATGTGAGATCTCTGGCCTCTGTGGGGCTCAAAAGAACTGCTGAAAGTAGCAGAAGCTAGTTTAACCACTTCTCTATGTATCTGATCTACACATCCATCTGCTTCTTGACTTGGACAGAACGCTTTTTGCTGATTGAGATGCTAAAATGGGTAACTGAAGGGACCCTCTGCCATGTATTTCAAGAGATCTTCATAAATATGAAAGGCTCCATACTCTCTGTACCCTTCCTACATCCATCTGGAATGGTTTAAACATAAGTAATGAAATAAAATGAGGACATCCAGAGATGATCTAGACACAGACAGGTTTAGCAACTTGCTCACTACCTGGCAAACCAGGACTTGTAACCCAGTCTCTTCACTATTGGTTTGTTTATTTTTAAAATTTATTTTTAATTAATACCGACTCAATACTTTTATTGAGAAAGTAATACATGCATAAAAGAAAGAATTCCAAAATAAATACATAATTTAAAACTACCTTCTTCCGGAGTGGGGGAGCAATTGGGGGGGCGGTAAGGACACATATGTAATACCTTAATCAATAAAGAAATTAAAACAAAACAAAACAAAAAAAGAAACTGCCTTCTTCCTACTTCAGGCCCATTGCTTCCAATCCCTCTCCTTGCTGCCACTACTGTTAGCCTCCTGGGTATCCTTTCAGAAATATTTGATGTATTTATAATATTTTATATATATGTAAGCATATAATATTTACTCTTTTAATAAAACGAAGATGTACTATTTCATGCCTTGCTTTTTCACTTAACACTACAATTTGAAGACAGTTTCGTATCTGAATATAGAGTCTTTTCTCTTTCTCTTCAATGATTGCATAATAATCCATAGTATGGCTATAGTACAAATTATTTAGCCTCAACTTCTAGTTTAATTCTTTTTTTTTTTTAATATATTTTATTGATTTTTTTTTTTTTTTTTTTTTTTACAGAGAGGAAGGGAGAGGGATAGAGAGTTAGAAACATCTGATGAGAGAGAAACATCAATCAGCTGCCTCCTGCACACCCCCTATTGGAGATGTGCCCACAACCAAGGTACATGCCCTTGACCGGAATCGAACCCGGGACCCTTGAGTCCGCAGGCCGACGCTCTATCCACTGAGCCAAACCGGCTAGGCCTAGTTTAATTCTTACATGCCTTTTGTTGTTGTTGTTGCTGTTGTTGTTGATGGCAACACAATTCTCTCAGTGACTCTGCTTCAAACCTCAGAGTAATATCCAAGGGCCTCCTTTCCCATATCTAACAACTCATGCCAATTATGCTTTTAAATGTATTTCCTATTTGTCCATTCTTTTTCACTTTCATTGCCACTTCCCTGGTTTAGGCTTTAACATTTTGTATAACATTTCCCTGCCGGCAGATTTTCTATTTCTGCTCACATTGCACACTTGCTTTTGATCAAATTT